AAACAAGAAAAAAATTTGGCGGCCTCTCTCTTTTCTGTATATTGTGAGTCACTTTTTTGTAATTTTCATTACTTTTCAATTCGCGTTGACATAAACAAAATTTTTGCAAATGCTAATAATGACTATATTTTTTGTGTTGCATGGGATTTTTTGTTTCCGGATTCTTTGGTCGCTAGCTAAATGGCAACATTTTTGTCTGGAAATGTGTAAGGAACGCCTTTTTTCAGTCTCGACTATCAAGTACAAGAAAAATGAAAGTTTAATGTCTGCTTGATTTTTTTCAAAAAAAAAAACAATGATAGATCTGTCAGTTTTAGGTTGTTGAAAATTAGTATTAAAAAATCAGAATGATAAATCACACTTTGGCAATTTGAAAATATTGGAAACAGGAAATCAAATTCAAAATCACAAATCAGTTATAATGTCCTTGAATAAAATATTGATTGGGGGAAATTTCATTCATTTTTTGGTGAAAATTAGAAAAATAATGGAATTGTTTCAAATATGAGTTCATGAAAAAAGGGTTTCTAAATGTGAGATAAATTTTTTTGTATTTTCTCGTAAGCCCCAAACATCCTAATAATTATATCTCCTTAATTAGAAAATCTTGAAATTTTCATGATACTTCTATCAAATTCAACTTCAGATAAAGATTCCTAGAAAACCAATGAAACCAAAATTCATAAATGGACACAACATGGGCTGTGCCCCCTTTTCTTTTCGCTAAAAAATGCAAAAGACGAGAAAAAAGACACGATTCATTTCCAAAAACTGGTTGACAATTTACATGTAACTATAACTATTTTTTCTCAATTCTCTCGATTCTTTGCCCAATATTTTTGTGAATACGTACATGGTCGAAGACACTAACTAATTTATCAATCAATTCTCTTCTTCTTCAAATGCCCTCGGTCAAAACTACATAACTTCTTCTTCTTCTTCTCATTTTTTTGTTTCTCTTTCATCTTAATTTTTTCATGTCTCGTATGAAACTGTTTTTGATTTTGAATCCAATTTTGATATTAAACAAATGTCAATAAAAATTTTCGAGGGGGTTTTTGAGAAAAATCAGAAAAGACGGAATAAGAACAAAACACACGATTGCTTCCAGAAGTGATAAGTTTTTTCTGGAACCACAAAAAATAGTCATTGGAGTGTCCAAAAGATGATTAGAACAAATGTAAAATCAGGAAAAAATAATTTTAAGGCTTATGAATTTTTTGAAAGGGACCACGATAAACATTTTTTTATATAAATTAAAATATCAAATTTATGGTATTTTTTAATGGTTCAATAGAGGAAATCTAAAAAAATAAAATAAAATTCATGACCTAGCTCAAAAACTACTGCAAGTAAACAAAAGTGAAATCAACCGGATTTATCAATATAAAATTTAATATTGTAATAGGCGAACCTGGCGAAAACTCAATGAAATGTAGTTGTAAGAAATAGGGATTTTTAATTAGAGGGTGTAAAATAAGAGCTAGAGATTTCAAATGACATAAATACGGGTTTGAAGGTGGAGCTTATAAATGTTAATGCTCAAAAATTAGAAGATTAGAAATTAGAACAAATTAAATGGAAATAACATTATTTATTAATCAGAAGTTTAATATTATCAAAAGTTCCATTTGAATTATGATCAGGAAAATACTAATACATAATTCTTCAATAATTTCTGGTCTTGTTAGAAGATAAAATTATTTTGTCAAATTAAACTGTTCAAGAAAACTTACTACTGTATTTATCATTCTGATGCTGATTTTTTTCATATTGCTGTAGACTGAAGTTCAGCCTATACTTATGTCAGACAGACTTTTCTTTGTTGGTCTGTTCCCGACAGAAAATTGAATATTCTATCCCGACAATCAAAAAAACGTAAAGTAATGTCAAGTACAAATACAGAAATCAAGTGAAAGTAGAACTTGAAATTACTTGAAAAAATGTATATTTTTAAGATCGCAATCATTTTTTTACACACACACACACACATAGAAAATTAAAATTGAAAAATTTGTTTTAATTTCCATAAAAACTTGTTTTCAAAAATTGAAAATAAAGTTAGTGAAAGGGTCAAATGCATTTTTTTCAAAACAGTAAACACACATATACATAATAAAAATAATTAATGTTTTGTTTCAGAAATACCATCTGTTATATTTCAAAAAATATTTTTTGTTTCAAATTTTCCAACAGTCAATTTCAGTCATATGCAAGCGTGAATGACCTTGAATTTTTTCGCACTTTTTCATATCGTCGACCCTTTTTTGTAGATAGTAAAATGAGAAGAGAGTATATAATAATGTAAGAGAGAATTGAATAAAAGCGACGAATTAATTACATTTGATTTGTCTGAAGAAGGATGACACCTGACTTTTTTTAGGCATATTACAGTAAAATTTCGGTTGGCTTGCTAGAGACAGGTTAAAGTTGAAACATGTTCAAGAACGCTTAATTAATTGCTGATAATTTTTTTGATCTTTGAGGGAACTGATGTTCCATAAGATCAACGTTATTTTTCAGAACACTCAAAAACCTTTGAATTATTTTTTATCAAAAGTTTGTTTCAAATTCTATGTTTTTTTTTCAAAACCTTGAATCTTTTTTCAAATTATTTTTCTTTCATAAAACATAATATCTAAGAAATTTGAAATAAAAAAAACAAAATCCTATTCAATTTTTTGTATTTTCAATGACACTCCAAAATTTCAGCGTAAAAAACCCCCAAAAATATCTCGTCATCAAAACTAATTTCAAGGAAACCTATCAAAATTGAATACAGTTAGTTACCAGACAAAAGATTCTGGAAAAAATCAAAAGTAATTAATCAAAAAATGGAAATTGATAAAAATAAGTAATCATAGATCTAGAAATTGTGTAATATTCCAACATAAAATTTAAAAAAAATATGAATAAATGAAAATATATGTAACTGTTTGTTCCACGACAACACCCAACGAAAAAAAAAATGAACAACGAGAACGAGAAAAAACCTTATTCAGATACAGTACGTTTTAATTGTGGTTTACATCACAGCAACATGAAAATTTACGCATTCAACCTCAGAAAACTTTCAATTTTTACAGTATGTATGCATTCATTATCAATATAATCATTCGGAAAGAAAAACTGCCATAATAACAATAAAGTAACTGAAACAATTGAGAAAAAATAACAATCTCGAGAATTAAAATGAAAAAAGAAAAGTTGCGCAATGAATGAACCGGCTGGTCATAAAAATAATGCATGTCTACATTAACTGTACTACACAGCCAGCCCAAAAAAATCGTCCTCTCCGTTTTGAAAATGAAACAAAACTATCTTCATTTTAATCAGTCAGTCATTCAGTCAACCAAATTTAGGCAACCTAACCTAACTAACACAAAAAAATTATACATTTTTATTTCTCAAGAGGGAGAAAGAAAGTATATAGAATACAAAAAAGGAAACAAAGTTTAGAAAAAAGAAGTGAAAAGTAGAAGTAGTACATAATTTTCTCGCTGCCTTACCAAAAATGAACAGGTTATTTTATTTATTATTTTATTATATTATTATTCTATAATATATGTATGTTTGTACCTCTAGTTGTGTCTGAAAATTTGTGAATGAAGGACAATGGGCAGCGATTGCAAATTGAAAAGGTATCGATGAAATGCATCAAGTCTTTCATTTTCAAATGGGGCTTTAATTTCAATTTTGAGGAATTCATCACGATTTTCCAAAATAATCAGAGTGTCAAATTTTCTTGAAGATCAAAATATATTAATTCACAGCAAGTGAAATTTGCAGTCTGGGAGTTAAGAATTTCAGAAACAGGCTTTGTTTTTAAAATTTTTTGAACTTCCAACATAAAAAATAATTGCATGTAAACTTTTTGCAAAGCTTACATTCAGAATAAATTTTTGAATTTAATTTCAAAATTTATTTTTATCTAAAGCTCTTGTACAACAAACTCAAGTTCCCGTTTTTTTCAGGATTTCAAAAAAAATCGTTATGAAAATGAAACCATGTTGATCTTCCGTTACGATTTTTTGTGAAAGTTTGTAATCTACAGTGATAACAACAAGGCCATTGTTAATTTTATCCACGAATGCAATCTGAACAAATTTATTTCAGCGTTTTCAGATTTTCAGAAAAATTGGTTATGAAAATTTCGAAAAATCCGAGTTTTTTTTTTGAATGTTTACAGTTTCTCTAAACCTTTTACTGGAAGTTACTTTTTATTTCAAACTGAGTATTTCAAATTTTCTGATAAATATTTTTTAGTTTCCCATCCACATAATTTCTTCTTGAACTCACTTTGAATTTTGAATTAATCACTTTTTCAAAAAAAAAAAAATTATTATTGTATTACAAAAAAAATTTGATCATTGTACTTTCTAAACAAAGATTCATATCATCTAAACCCTCATCAAATTGTTGTTATCTATCTCATCTAGCCGTGATTCGAATTCTCGAACACTCAACAAAAAACAAACAGCAAAAACACATCTACTGATGTTCAATATTTTCCTGATACATAGATTTTATTCGAAACCATAAACTTAAAAATCACAAGTTGAAACAAAATTGTGTTGAGTAGAGAACAAGACAAAAAAGACAAAAATATATAAAGTTTAGTGATAGAGGCAAAATGAAAATGAGCGTGCGTGATGAGAGAAAAAATTACAGTAACAATTAAAAAATAACCTTTTGAGACAAGAAAAAGCTTATCAATACTATGAATCTCGATTTAAATGTGAATGTATATGTCCTCTTTTTTTCATCTTCTTCATCTCTTTTTTTTTTTGGTAGTAGGTGTGTGTTTCATTTTGACACAAACTGAATGAATAAAGGAGTGGAATGTATGTATGAGATCGATTAGAAAGAACAAAAAAAAAGTGTTTGGAAACGAGTACGCGTGATAGAATTTTGATACAATTGACTAGATTATTTATCTACTTGAACGGATATCTTCTTATTATTTTTTTGTGTTGGTGTTGTCAATTTTTCTTCATTTCTCAATCATACATTGCCGAATCCGTCATCGCATCTTCCGCACTGCAAATCAAATATTACATTAATCGTTCTTATGATTTATGAGTATTACCTTGTTGTCACTGATGTTGGATAGATCATGTCATTACTAGCATCTGATTTCTGTCCAGGACTCAGTGGTCCGACTGAAGATCGCCGGCTGCCTTCTGTCTCTTCGCCAGATCCTCCCTTTCGACCACCTTGATATTTTTTCTGGCGAGCTCGAGAGTTCTGAAACATTAATTTTGTGAGAAATTGTAGATGATGATATAATTAGAGTTCTAGAACTATCGAAAACCGTGAATGTTTTTCAGAAAAAATTACCTGGAACCAAACTTGGGTGACTCGTTTGCTCAATCCGGTCATATTCGCAATCCTCTCCAAATCTGCACCATCAGGATTTGAATCAACTTGAAAATGCGCCTAAAATATCAAATTTGAAATTCATCGCTGTAACTGATGGAAATTTTAGAAGAAAAATCAGCTCTCACCTGCAGAACACTCAATTGCTCTTCGGCAAAAGTTGTGCGAACTCGTTTCGTCTTTGCTTTCTGATGAGCAATTCCCGTCTCACCCTCAACCAATTCAACAAAATGCTGTTTACATAATAGTTTGCCTTCTTGAAGTGCATATTCTTCGCCGGTGCTCAATTGTCTGCAACTTTTAATTTACTAATAAAATCTATTCGGTAGGTTTTAGCTTCTTACCTTTTACATTGATTACATGCGAAACAAGCAAGGTGGAATACTAGTGATCTTGCTCTTCTTACCCAATCTGTTGATTGGATAACTCGATCGCACCCCGCGCATTTGGTGCCAAATTGTCTGAAACTAAAAATCATCGGTTTTCTTTTTTTCTTTTTTATTGTTCCTTCTCATTCCGTTTTCATTTATACAGTAGTCATTAGCTTGTTTCTTCCCTCTATTGTATCTCAATATCTCAAGTGCGTTGTTTTATCTAATTGTTATTAGGTCCATGAAAAAAAGAGCCGAAAAAGAACATGTTGCTATTTGTACTTCTCAGTTTTCCGTCGTTCCATCTGTCAATTTCCCTTCTTCCATAAAAAAGGGTTCATTATAAAAGTGTGAAAAGAAAACAAAGTTGGTTGCTTTTGATTTATTGGCATGTTCGGTTACACGGGGTGATTGACACGCGGCACCGCGCGCGGGAATCGGAAAAAAGAGCAACAGTGATGGCGCTGAGGATAATTAGTGAAGGGTTTGAAGTGATTTATGGAGAACGCGTCGAGAAATTTTTTTATGAGCGTTCGTTTTGAAAAAAAAACTTTTTTTAAAAATCTTAAAATTATAAAAAAGCTGTAAAACTTCTGAGTGGGATTTTTTGATCTACTCTCTGAATTTCTAGTTTTACACACTATATTTTGGGCTCAAACTATAAACATTTGGTAGGTCAAATTCAATTCGTCCGGAAAACTCTACAAAATTCAAAAGTAATTTTTGTTTTTCCTCGTAATTTTTAGCAACACAGGTTTCTAACTAGTCGTCATTGCAAACCCTTTAGAATTTGTTTTTTCATAAATGAATAGCGGCTAAATGAGCAAACTTTTTAATTTTTTTTTCAAAAATTCCAGAAACCAGTGCAAAAGAAATCAATAAATGAAACACTAACAAAGTTATTCTTTATATGCTTTGTGTTGCTGTTACACGGAATAAACGAATTTAGGAAACGTGTGTGTTCTTCAAATTTCCTTTTTCCTTCTGGAAAGACAAAAAAAACGCATCTTTCTCCACACACATCTCTCCTATTCCACCAAAATTGAATCTGGTCTTCTTCTTCTTCTTCTCGTTTTTCCTTTCTGCTTCCCTTTAGCATCAGTTTGGATATTATGATTATGATTCAATTTAAACCCAAACCCCCCAACAAAATACACACCATATTATATTACATGGGTAAATCTGATAATAGACGGACGGGTATATTATTATTAGGAAGTGGAGAAAAACGAGAAAAGGAGGAAGGATTACGGTAGGAGAGGATTATGCAATCATTTTTTCTAATGCTCAGGTGACAGATGTGTGCGCGAATGTTATGCTCATTAAAAAATACAGTATATATTTTCCCTATTCAGAGACCAATCCTGTTTTTCCAAATTTTTTCTCTAGAGACTCAAGAAAATTTAGCTAATTTTCAATTAAACTGACCTCCCATAGCATGGCTTACAGTAGAATTTCGAGTCTTTATAATAACATGTTGGCATTGTGCTCAAATTTACTGAACACGATGTACATGTGAGACATTGATCGTGCCAAAATCTGAAATTTCTTGGGAATATAATGAAAAAAAATTGGGGTAACTCACCGGCCATCAACATTTAGAAGTGTTCGCTCGTGAATTGGGAGATTGCAATTTGTACAATTGTCGATTGAGCTCTCGACCTGAAAAATATAAATGAAAAGAGAGTATTGATATTTAGAAGAAATTTTTTGGTTAGTTGATTTCAAACTCATGGAAAAATTGAAGGTTTTTCCAAAAACCTCTGAAAAGTTTTTGAAAGTTATCTGAAATCAGGAATCAGTTTGACTGAAAAATCATGCTGGAAATTTTTTTTTCAAAATCATAAAGTCTCTATTAAATATTTAAAAAAAACAGAAATTCTAATTTTTCGGGTCAGAATTTTTAATTCTCAAATTTCTATATGGAAATTTTCTCACGAGAAACAAAAACTCAACATTTTCAGAAAGATTTTTTTCACAAATTTTATGAAAACATTAGTTTGCGATCCCAAGGATCCTGAAGAAATGCACTTTTAGCAATGCCAAAAACGAACCTTGATTTTATAAACATCAGGTGTCGGACTATAGATAAATTCATCATCAACCCCATTATTTTTCAAACTAGCTGGAATAAAACACGCCGATTCATCGGACAAATCCGAAGTGGAATTTGTGTTAATCGACAAATCAGCACATTCCGATCCACCGTAATCTGATGTGGCTAAAACAACACGCGGCAAAAAATCCGAAATATAAGGAAAGGTGACACCATGTGATTGTGATGTTGCCGCTTGCGATGTTGTTGACGTCGATTGATGAACTTCCATCATCAATCCAAGCAGCAAAAACAAGACGAGAAAAAAAAACAGAGAAGACAAGGGGAAGACAACAAGAATAAGAGGGAGAAGGAGGAGACACAATACTAACGAGCTTCACCCGCTTCTTCGCCTTTTTTCGTCCAAAGCTTTCAAAAATATCTTTGTCAGACCACGCCCATTTGATATTCTCATTGGTTGGCAAAACTCTTTGACATTGTTGTTTGTCATCAAACAATTTGATTATTCTCGATTTCAAGTACCCCCGGAGAATACTAGTGGTCCAAACCAAGAGAAACTATGTTACAAGAAAATTATAACCTACTAGAACTACATATGAAATATAGTTTTGTTTGATTTTAAAAATGCTATGCTATTCTATTCTATACTCACCCAAAAAACTAAATCCAACATTTTTCTCAGGAATAGAAGTAGTAAGGAAAGGCAAAATAATAAATAATAACAATAAATGTTGTCGAATGAAATGAAAACTAACCTCTTGACTGTAAACTGACACATTATAATCATCTTCCTCATCTTCTCCGTCATCAGATGTAAAAGATGGGGGAGACATCTTAGGGAATGCGCTGCACATAAAACTTGAAATGAATGAGGTGATTATGTTATGATATATAATGTTATTATAAATGATAAGTTTTTTTTTCGAATCCATTTATTCTCGCATTCATTCATGTGTGTAGGTAGATGAGACATTTGCAGATGATGTAATAATACTTCAAAAATCGACTTCAAAGTATAAGAAATTTGAATTCTTGGTCTTGGATACTGAACCTGAATTTGTAAAAATGTGGAATGTTTAACACAAAAATTATTATCAATTTTGGGAATTAGTAGAGCTTTTGAGACTTTTTTTCCGTGTTTTGTGGCAAATAACAAAATCGTTCGTCACTACAGTAGCCTTCTCTCTCTCAAAATAGGCATATTTTTCCAGGTACACACATAAATAGCTCAATTAGCCGCATATTCAAAAAAGATCATTGGTCTATATCATGCTGCACGGCATATAACAAAAAAAAGCAAGAAGAAAACAAGACAAGTAATGCCTAATTTGGTGCCAATTCATCCACGCCAAGCTGTCACTTCCGTCCGTTATCTTCTTGTGTTTTATAGACTTGACTGATACACAATATACATTTTGAATTGTTGAATTTTTGAAGAAGGAAAGAGCTGAAAAAGCTAGAAAATTATATGATTAGAGGTTCAGGGAAGTGGAAAATAAATACATATACTTTGATTTTTGAGAAATACTTTGATTTTCATGGGTTTTGGAGATTATTTTAAAAATATGAATAGGTAATTTTTGTAAAATTCAAAAAGCTGAAAGAAATTTTATCACAAATAAACTGAAAACAAATAGATTCTAGCGATTACTGGAAAATTCAAAATGTCAATTTTCTGGGAAACCACTTCAAGTGGCTCTTAATCCCACCTTACAGGTCAACATCATTTTCTACACCGTGTATTTAAAAAAAATTTCAAATTTAGTTGAATAACTTACGTGTTAATTTTATGCTATCCAAATTTTAAATAAATCTAAAAATTCAGATTCTTTCTGAAAAATTATATTTCACCAATCTTCACGAAACCCAAATTCTGGAATATTTCTCATCACCTTAATGTTTCACTTTTCCAAAAATTCCAAACAAAAAACTCCACCAAAAAAGTGAATTTTGGCAAGCGATTATTAAATTTACATCAGTTTTGGCAAATGCCTTGGTGTGAGTGATTCGATTAATGTTTTGCCTGCCTGCCTGCGTGAATTGTTTTGTTTTCGGTTGAGCAGCCAGAATAAGTAAGGAGCTCTCAAAAATACGAACACATTTTCTTAACATTTGGCGCATTCCACGATTATTATTATTATTTATTATAATAATCCTCTGACAGCCGTGTTGTTTTAGGGAGGAAATAGGGAAGGTATACGGTAGATATACATATAACGTATAATTATCCGACTTGATTATGTTATATAATTTTTTTTTGGTAATTCTAATTGTAACTAATCTCCAGTACTCATTATTAATCATTATGTAATAAATCTAGATATCTAGATATATCCTAATTTTTATTTCATTTAAATTTGCTCTTTTTTTCCGAATTCCAAAAAATGTCTCGAAAATTAAACTAATTATACAAGTTAAGTCGAGTTAAACTCCAAGGTCAATGCTCAATGTTTGTCGCGCAAAAAGAGAAAAGGAAGATTCGCAACAGCTTGCATAAATCGAATTATGTGTTCTCAGATCGATGTAAATTTTATTCGCCAAAACACACTCAAAACATTGAAATTGTTAAAATTCAATTAATTTTGAAGATTTGAATATGATTTTCGCTTTTTGGTTGAGCTTCGAGGGGTAGTGAGAGTTTCACAAAGGGAATTAAAAAAAGATAATAATGAGCTAATTATAGTTAAAAACATAATCAAAAAGACTGGAAAAACTTCTGGATCTTGTCAAAGAGCAATCAGTAAGAAGTGAGGAAACGCAGAAAAATTTCATCAACTAACTAACACTCAAACTCTGTTCTATTATAAAAAATTAATATCAGGAAAAACATCAATAATTTTTTTTATGTCGCACAAATCGCTCATCAAATGAGCAAGATTACTAGATGTTGAGATTGTGTAAGTTCACCTTTTAAAAAAAGAAATTCAATTTTATCAAATAAAAAAGTATATAATATTACAATATTTAAATTTAATGATGTCCTCCTCTTCCACCTCCAAATCTTCCAAATGGTCGACTATGCCACAAATCAAAAAGTTCCTCCTTGGCTTTCTCGCTTAAATCGGAAATGATTTGGAACTTCTGCTTTTGAAGCGCCTCGATCTTCTCATGCGCTTCTTTTGCCTCCGTCGACAATTTCGCCTCCTTCGCCTCATATTCTTTAGTTTGTTCAGCTTTTTTGGCCTTGAACTCCTTGAATTGCTTCAAATTATCACCAGTCAATGTTTTCTCGGCCAATTCCTCGATTTTTTCATGCTTATCTGGCCAGGCAATCGATTTGTCTTTCCAAATTGCTTGGAACTTCTCGAGAATATCTTTCGAAACTCCTTTCAAATATGGGGGAGTTGGGCGGCGATGAAGATTCTTTCGAAGCTCTTTTGGAAGTGAATCAATCACTTCGCGAGTTCTAGTCTGCTCTTCATCACAACTATCTCCTTCTTTATAATCCTTCCAGATTTCTGTCAAATTGTTTTGTTGTTCAGTTGGCAGATCGTCAGCAAATGGTGGCAAACCGCACGGTGGACGATGCTACAAAAAAATTGACGTCGAACCCTGGTTCTGCAAACCACTCAGCCACGCAGCTTAGAATAACTCACTCTGAATCTCGGGCTGGCTTCCAAAACAACCGCAATAGCTAGAAGAACACAAATCGGAGTGATATACCTGAACATTTTTGTTTTCTTTATAAAATATTCAGACCACCTTTTATACTCCTTGCTATCTCTTTTTCATTGACCAAACGAAGAATTGATAAAATCGTTTTAGAACAGATCATTCAATTGGTAGCGATCTTTTGCTTTGTTTTTGTCAATGACGAACAATTTGGAAAACACTTATGATCTTTTAAAAATCGTTCATTTTGCTTGGAAGAAAAAAAGAAATCAAATGACGAGTTTCAAATAATAGCTTGTGGAACACCTCTCACGACATTTCTTATTTTCTTTTTCAGTGAAATTACATAAAATGAATATTGTTTCACCACGATCTTGTAAACACATAAACCAAAAACCAGCAGAGGTTTTCTCAAGTGGAGCTTGTGTACAAATGAATCTTTTCGGATTATTTGGTGTCGACACATAATTTGCATGAATTTATTCATTTGGCCAAGGTGCTGTTAATTATACTCGACAATTATCCACACAACCAACATCTTTATAACGTTTTCTTCCAAGTTCTTGATCTTCTTTGAATGTTTTCATTTTTCAAGTCGTTCCTCCTTTCATTCCTTGAAATTCAGCTCGTCATCCTGTTGGTCATTTTTCCAAAGTTCTTCCAACGAATTTTGTGATTAATTTTCACCGGTTTTCATTTTTATTTTTCGAGAATCTGTTACTTGTGGTGTGATCTTTTCTCAAAGTCAATCATACTACTTTTAAAATAACTTTGTTTCGGTCAAGAATTTTGCAAAACTGGAAAGTTTTCCAGTTTTGCAAATTCTTCATTTTCAAGCCAAAATTCTTGATTTTTTCTCACAATCAGCTTCGAGATTTCACACTTTCTGTAGGCAAAAAACCATAAAAAAATCACAGAAAATCTATATTTTTCCTGAAAATTTGAACATTCAATACGTTTCAAAAATTTATTAAAAATCAAACACAATGAACAGTATAAAATACAAAACTCAAGAAAAACATGAAAATGAAATGCACTGGTTTGTTTTTTTTTTTGGAAAAAAAAGAAGTAGAGAAAAATAGAGAAAGATTGAGATTTTGGGGAAAATTGAAATAGAGAAAGAAACTTGAAAAACATCCTATAGAGTAGAAAATGTGCAAAATAATTCTCGTTGGGGCGAAAATTGTACACCCGATAGTGAAAGGAAAAAATATAGAACGTTGCCTATATATTGAAATATAAAATAGAATAATGCGGAATATTTTCATAAGGGAAAATTCCTATTTAAAACGCGACGAAAAAATATTTGATGTGTTTTTGATGAGAAATTTCATAGATTTTCTGTATGTATGGCATATTTCACAATCTCTCAGCTACCCGTGATACTTAAAGTCACCAAAAATAAAAATAAAAGTTTGGATTTGAAATAAAAATTGAAAAAAAAAATTTAAAAAGATTCTCATAGGGAAAGACACAAATATTTTGTGATTATTATTAAAAATTATTACTGTATGGGAAGTGGAAGGGGGAGGGGTTGAGCAGCTATATACAAATTGACTAGACTCACTCAGCATTCAACAAAAAAAATATAGAAAGTTTGGGTAAAATCGTTGTGGAGGGATGGGGGGAAAAGAGCACCTAAAATTTGGCACAAAAGGAATTTTGAAAGTTCTTGATTTTCAGGTAATTCCGGGGGGAGATTAGAGAAAAAATACCCTGATTTGAAAGAAAAAAAAAATATAAAACTTGAATAATATTACAAAGAAAAAAAGATGACACTGGCTTATAATCAGTTGGGGGGAAAACTGATAAATAAACAAAATTGGCACAGAAAAATCGGGAGAAAGAAATGTGGAAATTGATGGATAGAAAGAAATCTGACAGAACGCGAGCACCGAAAAAACACAGGGTGATGAATTGTGCATGAGACAGAAGGTTGATTAGACGAATGTGAAGTAGCCATCGGATTTTCGTCGTTTTTTGCCACGCGTCGGATTTGATCCATCAAAGGGCGGCTTTGCCCTGCAATGCGATGAGGTTGAGGAATTAACGAGCTGATAGCAGTCGAGAGCCACCGTTGGCCTCCGCGGCCCTGCAAAACAACTGGGCTCAACGACTGCTCTGGCTCCGACTATTTTAGTTATTGGATTGGGAAATTTTTGAGCGGGAGAGAGTCTTTTTAATTTTCATTTTTTTGAAAACAAATCTTCAAATTCAACCCCTCAAATTTTAAAATTTTACCCGAGCAAACATTAAAATTTCTCCCCCGCTCAACAAAAAACGTGTCAAAATGTCAAAATGTCGCGAAATTTTTCTCATTATTTATTTCTTTCTCAACAACTCACCTCGTTTGACCAAGTAGCCACGTTTTGAAATTGGCATCTAATTTACTTGGCGACTGACTGACACCTCCTTCAAACATTTCGATTGGACTCTGAAATTAAACATAATCTTGTCAACTTTTCAATGTTCAATTATTTGATTTTACATCATCGCTTAGAGGCACAAAGCCTTGTGATACATAATTTTACAACTTGTTAGACACTAAAAAAACAAAAGCTTGGAAGAATTTCCGAAAAAGTATGAGAAAAAAACCAACTAAAGGCACATGCAAAGGATTTTCTTGTTGTCGGGCACACTTTATTTTTTTTAGTTTTTGAAAAAGTTTGAAAAAAAATGTTTTTTCTAGAAGGAAGGTGTTTTGCGTGCAGTGACCTTTTCCAAAAAATGTTTTTTTTTTTTTAAAAGAAAAGGATAGATAAAGCTAAGCATTCAAATCGGTGATTATCAATCAATCAATCAATAATTTCAATGAAAATTATCGATTTTTATATACAGACGTGAAATAGAAGAAGAAATATATAGAAAAACTACACGTACGTGATGGTGGTTAGTGGTTGAGAGATTCCGTAGAGTTGAATTGTATCTTCAAAATTGCACATTTTATCAGGGAAATCCGAGGAAAATCATCATCATCTTCATTTAATTTTTGTGAAAATGAAAATGATAATAAAATAATATTTTTGAAAGTATAATTTGGTTAGCGACACTTCAAAAAACTGAGTACCAAGCGGACAAACACAAAAGTTTCTTGGTTAGTTTAAAAATGGACAGTTTGAAAAAATAAAAGTGTGAATTGGTGAGATTGTGAGGGGGAGATAGTATGTAGAAATATTGATGAAATTCAAAAAAAAATGCTTTCTGAAAGTGCGCCCGAGAAAAATCATGTTTTGTTTGATGAGAAAATTTTGTTTCTTGGAAAAATCGAATCAATCACTAAAGGCACATCGTGGAAGAACACATAACGGTTAGTGAAGGAATAATTATTAGCGATTTGAAATTGAGGTTTTTATGAAAACTAACGTTTTGTTTTTTCTCGTCTCTTTCACTATATAACTATTGATCTGAGCATTGTTCGAAATTCTGCAAACGATATGCCTTTAATGATTTGGGATCGAAAATATTGATTTTGAAACTTTGATTTTTATTTTTTCATTTTTGGAAATAAAATTAGTGAGCGCTGTGGGTTTTTTGAGTTAAAATGCGGGGATTTTCATGAATATATAAAGAAGCACATTTGAGAGAATAGGGGGCACATTCCACCACAAAACAACCAAACAAAAATGTTACCTTCCGGACCCGATCGTTGAAATTGTGCCATAACGCGACTATTAATTCAGTTGCTAAAATATCACCAGCATGCGCTGATATCATCCTCATACAAAATACCTACAAGAAAAAAATTATTTTTCCGTGCCCCAAGAAACAAAGGTAAATACCCCGTCATAACCCAAAAATTTGTGCACAAATTTTTTGACCGACTGTCGATCTGTTGCCAAATCGGTGGCTCGAAGATATTTCCGAATGAATTTCATATGTTGTCCTGGTATAAATGATATCACAATCCAATGAAGCATTGATACAGCTGACACGAATGCCACCATAAAATACCAAAACCATAAAAATAGAAAGATTTTCTCATTGAACATATTGATCATTAATACACATTGAACTGTGTGATGGTGCACATTTCCAAGTACCCGGACCTAACAATGATTTTTTATTTGTTTTGGGAGAAACTTGGGTGGGGTCTTACCTCGAAATCGCACATTGTGACACGTGGAAAGTTCCCACTGACTTCCCATTCTCGACCATTTAATAAATCTTTGAGAATGTGAAATCCGTAGAACAAATTGTCAGTTCCCAGAAAACTGTTCAACATGAACACCTAAAAATGTTTGAGTATGATATCACAAAATTTCGATTAATAATCTTACCTGTAGAACAACATTTCCTAAATATAACATTTTGATAAAAACATATAATAGTGTCACATAATTTGCCCATCGTTTCTGCACACACATTCCCGACACATCGGTGACTTCGCGCTGAATTTCCAGCGCATCTTCCATGTGTCCGGCGATGGTTTGAACGGTTGCGGCTCGTGCGTCCGCATCCATCATACGTGCATCGCACGCCATTTGCGTCAACGATTGAACATTGATACCCGAATGCCAATGCAGCAATCCTCTCCACATTATGCACGGTATATAAAAGCATAACGCTTCGAGTGCTAACACAAACGGCACCCATTGGTAATAACTAATTTGCCGCGCTCGTCGATCACCATATTCTAATGGAAATGCGCTGGTCAACGGCAAATAATAGGTGTTTTCGACCCAACAATAATTTTCTGTATACTGCTCCCAGGCGTCAGTGAATTGAGCGGGAACCCAGCATTGAATCGGATAACCGACATATTGTTTGGCCGAAACAATAATAGCAAATGCGAATATAATAGCAGAAGTATAGTGATAATTGAGCTTGTCCACAAAATCGTCGTCGACTCGCGGATGTAAGCCCTTGAATATTGCCGCCAGATAATATAGAAGCATACCGGCGGACAAGAACTGAAAACAATTTTTTTTTGATTCTTTACGGAATTTTGCATAATTTTTCGATAAAAAGAGCACAAATTGAATTATAATCCTTTTAGAAGCAAAAAGCGAGAAAATAAAACAAAACTAGTGTGTGAAAAAGATAAATCTATATATCTTCTCGTTTTTTTTTTCAATTCTTCTGAAAACCCACTCATAAAATGTGAAAAATAGAAGGAAATAAATAATTTGATATTTTTTTTTCTCGTGTCAAAGGTGTTCCAGATTAGTGTGAAGTATAAAATAAGGACACTTTTTTTTGTTTTCGGGAAAAATAGAATAAAGAAAGAGAAAAGAAAATTTCAGGAAAAAGCCATCAAATTTTGAAAACGCAGCAGAAAAAAATTTTCATCTCAAATACATTTTTTCTCGATAATTTGTGCTCCCTCTCCTCTTCTTTGAAAAAAAACATGAAAACTAAACGAAAATTGTCGATTTCCTTCTGTTGTCGTGGTTATTTTCAGCACAAGTCAGTCACTAAAAACTAAAAGAAAAGAAAGGCCACAAGAAAAATTACTAGTAAGGCAAGCGAGAAAAAAAATAGAGAGTATCCTTTTCGCGCACACACACACAAAATTACTCTTTACTTAAGTGACAAGTGTCAGATTGGACTAATTTGGAGAGCGAAGAAAAAGGAGAGGCAAAAAAAACAACTTGTCTCTCAAATTTTTTCTTGACGAGCACTTTGAGAAGGGTTACTGTACATTCATTTTCATTAGACAAATTCCCAAGGGCTCACCTTTCGGTCCTTGTTGAGATAGGTTTTTGAAAACTTAGTATCGTGTGGTGCAGCACTGCTTGGATGAACTGGATATCTTGCAACGTGGTTCAATCGTTCGCATTTCTTGAGATTTGTATGCTAGAAAAATCAAATGTATTAGACAAGAACAAAAAAAATGTTTCGGGAAAAAATAATATGTATAATTATAAATAAATGAGTGCGATATGATGCTACTCGCATTGGAAAAACGTCTCCTTCTCAGATTTTCTGAATATTTGACACCGTTTCAGATTTCAGCATGACGATTTTTGAAGGGAAAAAGGATTTTTTTTACTTTTGAAGGAAGAGGAATTTTAGAATTTTTTTTGAAATTTTTTCAGACTTCAAAATTTCAAACAACTTAAGCCAGAAATTCAAATAATTTTGATCCAATTTATTCACGAAATTGTAATGTTTCATGAAAAGTTTCTGATTTATTTTGTTTATACATTTTGGAATCCAAATTTTCTATCACAAAAATGATCCTATTCTACAAAATTTCATAATTTTTCTGAAATCCAACTTCCAATAGCAAGAAAAAACCAATAATCTCAAAAATTAACACCACAAAACACATGTTTCAATTAAATATTTGCGCGAAACTTGCCGATATAACTAAATAATGGAGAAAAAGTGATACAAGAGAGAGAAAGGTGAAAAAAAGCAAAGAAAACTAAGCTAACAATCATCCGGGGCTGTTTCTCGCAAAGATTTTCTCGCCGCCGCGCAACAACTTGAGATTTCTCTCTACTCTTTGCACTTTTCATCTCAAATCAATATACCGTATGTTTGAAATTCACAGTGAAAAACACATCATTTTAGTTTTCGAACTAGCTAAAGGACAAATTATTTCTCCTTGAAAGCACAAAAATAAAAAAAATAAAAAGAGAAAAGGTTCTGCTACCGTAGGATTTTTGTGTGGCAAAAGGCGAATGAGAAGAAAAAGAGGGAAGATCCATGGACAAGAAAAGAATGAGCCACTAACTAGGGTGTATCGGAAGTGACACTTGGCAATCAACAACTACTACATTTTTGGTTGGTGTTGGTTTGACATTGATGCTTCTTATTCATTTTTGGCGATGAGAAAGAAGAGAGAGTTTGCTCGTCTCTCAAAGTTGTAATTAAGTTTAGCCAAAAGCCTTGTAGACATGATTTTTACAATTGAATGAAAACATGGATATTTTGGATGGAAAAGGGAGGGGGGGAATAGAAAGGATGTTGTGATGGAATAAAGATCAAAATGATGATTGACAAGTTCCGATTTTTTGTTTTTTTTATCGTGAAAAATTGGTGGATGAATTACAATATTATGAAAAATATACCAGATTTCAAAATTGACAGAAAACTTGTTGGATTAGGTTTGGGCCCTCGGGCTCTATAAAATCGAGAAAGCTTTTTCGCAACTTCTTCTATAGATTCGGACAACCTAGAGCTAAATATCTTTCATTTTAGACCATGTTTATTTCTGGGTTGCCTGTTCATTTAAAATTAATTTTAAGTTACGAAAAATCAAACAAAAATCAAGGAATGGTTTTCTTAACAAAAACAAACTGAATTTTTTCTGATATAAACTATATTTTCGTAGTGTCAATTTTTTTGAATTTATTTAATTTTAATTTCTGTTAAGATTTTCTTGTATTGGTAATTTTTGAGATGAAAGATTATGATTTTCTAACTGATCCAGAAAAATAAGCTGCAGAATTCAGAGAGAATGTAAAAACAGAATCGAGTAAATTGCGAGTTCAGACTATTCAAAAGCTTACCATCGCTCTTGCAATCCTCCTGGATATTGGAGGTGGCATGACACTCAACGCGGTCTCCATACTTCATTTTCATTCACAATACAAAATCAGTCAAATTTCAAATTACGATCAAAATATTAGTTTTCAACAGTATATATGATAATATTTGTCGACAATAAAAAAGTGTCGAAATGTGGTGCGTTTATTATCCGTCGTCCTTCAACAACACATATAGGATATCTATCTGTGTGAGCACATGTGTTTGTTGGCTCTACTTACGCGAGCGCGCGCGCGAAAAAGAGATTTGATCCTGGATGGAAAGCAGAAGGAATATAGATGAAGCAAACGAGAGCCCTTTTCTTTCTACTGAGCTTCTTCTCTACAGAATTAGTCTCATTACGGTGAAATTGGAGAAAGTTGTGAGGCGACATATGAAGATGGATATAGATAGGATAGAAGAAAAAAAGATAACTGAGTTAATTTGAGATGAAAGCTTCTTTCTCGTTTTTCACCCATGAAAAATAACGCCGCGCGCAGTTATTTTTGGATTACTAATTGGATCGATGTTTGATTCAAGAAGGAAACTATCAGAAAATTTTGTAAACTGGGAATATCGGAAAGAAATGTTGGAGATTTTCAAGAATAATCTGATAATTCAAAGTGCTAGAAAACCGGAAATTCGATGATTACTGTAGATGATGAGAAACTAGGCCTAAAGATCAGTTTCAGAGAAACGAGTGAGTCATTGACTTTTCAGAATTTCTAACTTTTTCTCTATGAACTACAAAAAATATTAAAAATAACCGCTGAAAACTCTCCAACCCTGATCAAGAACCAAATTATTCAAAAATTCAGAACACTACAACCAAACTTTTTTTTCCAGCATAAAAAAACTGGAAAAAAGTTCATTTGCATTCAGTGGCAAAAAAAAGAGTAACGTGTCAAAAGTGAGCGCGAGAGAAGTATGTTGAATAACTAATTAGCTAAAAAAATCGGCTCTTTCGTGTTTTTTTTTTCAGTCTTACCGAAACGAAGTGTGTAGTTGGTGGTGGTATCATTCGTTCATAATTCTAGCTTAAAAGTTTTTTCGCTGTCAGCTTTTTCAGCTAAAAATAAGAGGGAGGGGAAAAAGGATGGGTGACTATAATTGTTTAACAATTATCTGGTCAATCTTCTTTCTAATAGCCCTAATGTTTTATTAATGAAATCAAAAGTTACGGTAGTCTCTATCTATTTATGCGACATGTACAAAAGGAAAAATATTATATTTACTAGTGGAGCTGACGTGTTTGTGTCCAGTTTTCTTTCTTATGAAATTCGAATATCCGTGGGAATCTTCATATTATACAAGCAGAGAAGATTGCGAAGAAGAGCGCAAGGGAAAAAACACAAAAATAGAAAATCTATATTCATAAATGAATGAGAAATATATGAAATTTGGAGAAAAGTGCGAATCGCGTGATAAATTGCACCCTTGACACCAAACAACACACACACTCAACTCAAATATATGCATATGCAGGCGGACTGACTAGACTTCACCCAATTGTTTTGAGTTCATATTTTTCTCGCCTGCTTTTTTGGAGGGTGTAAAATGATGATATTTGGTGTGTTTCGTTTTTGCTTGGTGTAGTTTTGAGATTTTTGGAGTTTAAATTTAAATGTAAGTAGAAAGGACCAAACTAAAAAGTTTTTTTTCATAGCCTCATTTATCATCGTCAAGTTTTAAAGAATTCTTAAAGAACAAAGTTCAACACAAGACTCAAAATTGCGAATTCGTCAGGATCTTTTTTATTTGAGAAAAAGTGCAATGTTCGTGGGTTTGGTATGGATCAAAACTCATAAATATTTAAAAAATAAGTTGAGTTCTTATGAAATCTTTAAACTTTTTCTTTAAAAAAATACCAATAAGGAGAATCAGGCAAATTTTGAATTTTTGGAAAATTCCCAGATTTTTTGAACTAAATTGAAATTATTTCAGAATAAGGCTGAAAATTTTCAAGAACATTTATTTTTTGAACAAGAATTGAGATTTTCTTGAATTCTCTGATTTTAATCCAAATTATTGTAGAATTTGTATCAAAAACAACAAAACATCTTAGAATTTGAACAAGAAAAAAATTCGAAAAAGAGTTTTTTTGTTTAAAAAATCTGGAGACTACCCGAAAATCCTAACTTCAGAAGATTGATCTTAAAATATCTCAGCGAAAAGATATTGTTCTGAAATTTCTCAAAAACCCAAATGATTATTAAAAAACGAACCTAAATGGTCGGATGACCATGTATATTAATGAAAGCCGTATCTCTTGAATCGATATCGACGGCTGATATATTATTCTGGAAAAGAGCATTTTTGCACAGACAAAAAAAATGAATAAAAAGAGTTTTTCGAAAAAAAATGGAGAAAAGTATAGAGATATCAATAATTCTACGTAAGATGAATGAATAGCTATGACTGGCATATATGGATGGATAAGGACCGAATTTTAAATGCACTTTTTTTCCGAAGCGTCGGGGAGGGAATAACTTTTTGACAGACTGAGTATGAGAGAGAATCGTTTTCAATATAAGTAAGTGAAAATACGTAAGTATATTTTATTTTTAAAAGGAGAAGGAAGTGGAGAGAGCATATTATGAAAATTATATATATATTTATATGTATATGTATATATATATATATTGAAGAAATAAGAAAAGAGAAGAAGAAAGTTTTCTTTGGTAGGACCGGATATATTTATAAGGTGTGTGAGGAAAAAGAGTGGCAAAGAGCAAGTCTGGAATTTCTTCTGCTCATTTTTTGTGTGTGTGTCGTGATGAAAAGCTTGACTGCCTTTTAATATATATCCTTAAAGGGTGCAGCTCAAGCGTGAACTTAATTTTTGTCTTTCTTCTTGTTACTTTATTCTTATTCATTTTTCGATTAAATGTCACAATGAGTTAGTTATTGTTTAACGTCAAGTCAGGTGAAAAAAAAAGAATAAAAGAAAAGACGATGAAAAATAATGAAAAGTGTAATGGTGAAGCTGCTGTTTGGTGGATGGAAGGGTGTGGGTTTTGGGGTGGATATATGAGAACAGGTGTGCGGCTCTTTTTGTTTTGATATATTTTGTGGTTTTGTGATAAATATTTCTATGCGAATCAGGTTACAGAAATAAAACTGGAGATCTTCTGAACAGCTGAATTTGAGAATAAAGAATTAGGATTTTCCAAAGAGTTGGTTACGGTGGCTTTGAAATTAATGAGGTTAGGATTTTAAGAAAAATGTAGAATTTGAGTCAGAGAAAAACCCAAAAATCAAACTCTCAAGAAATCTGAATGAAATTAAAGCTATACTCAAGTACAACAATCAAGCCAAAAATTGAATAATCCGAAAAAATTTTTTGACGTTGATACGCACCTGCTGCTTAGCAAGAATAAAATAAAATAAAAGTGTTTTTGGGTTGGGGCGAAAAAAATCATTAATCGTGTTTGGAGCGACTACTCATTCTATTACACATACATTAGATATCCACTCACTTTTTACTTACTTTCTGGGAACCTCGTAGGACGAAAAGAAAAAAAAGTATAAGAAGTAAGAAAAAAAAATGAAGAAGAAAGATGAGTGCACAATTTTTTTGGCAAGGATGATGAATACTAGGGGATGGGATGAGAAGAAATGAATTTATTAATTCTTTTTCCTTCTTTTCTTTTTTTTTTATTTTTCAGTTAATAAATTATTAAAATGAATATACTTGAAACAAAAATCGAGATGAGTCAAATAGAAAAAAAGAGACCACATGTTGTGAAATTGAGCCCGACAAAGGGTTGAAAAACGGTTGATCGCGTGAGAATGAATCTTCTACATAGCCTATGTTTTCATTTATTTTCATATATGCATTCTCTTGAAACAGCAAAATGTATGTGAAATATTTAAAAAGGCGAGAGATTCGTATAGTTCTGAAAGGAAATTCGAATTAAGAAGAGGCAAAAAACAGCTGCGCCGCGATTCGATTTCGAATAAGTAAGGTGAAATGCATAGCGTTGAACAAGAGCATAAACGACGACAAAAAAACACATACACGAGAAGAAGCATGAAAAAAATAATGCGGCTGATTTTTACTTGGCGCCTTTTCTTTGTCTCTTTATTCGAACTTGTTCACAATGCGTATTGTTCGAGTAATTTGTCGCGTCAGCGATATAAATATGCTGTGAAGCTTGAGCTCAGAAGTTGAAAAAAGAAGAAGAAAAAATGCCGAAGGCGTATAAAACATCAACGGTTCAAGAATCTACTGTGCTTCTGCTTTTGCTAATAAAATTTTTATGAAGCCTTATACTTTTTGCTGTGTGTGATGTGTATGTGTGTATTTCTGATTTCGAACAAAATTTATCTTTGAACAGAGATTTTATGAACTTGAATGAGAAAAAAATAGGGCTTCGGGTTTTGAAGAGAATCTTCGGGAAAAAAAAAAGTTAACCATGAAAATTCAGAGGAAGATTTGAGAAAATGTTTATTTTTCTCGAATCTTATAGAATGTTTTCGAGAGATTAAAAAACATATTGTTGTAAATTCAAAAAAAAAAACAAAATCATCGGAATTTTCGAATGGAGAAGACTTTCAGAATTTTCAGAATAAATTTTTTTGAATGATAATTATTCTGAAAAAGTAGCCCTATCTAATTGAATTTCAGACAATTTAAAAATTGAATTGAACTTGATGGATCTAGGTAAATTTGAATTGACTTCCAGAATTTCAGAAAACTTCCACGTTCAAACCAAAAACCCAATAAAAAAATCATAAAAACTACCACACAGAGAAGAAAAAACATCAAAAGCGATTTGCAACACACAAAAACTTTCGTGTGTTAAACAAGACAATCCAACATATCTCAAAAACATTTGTTGCCAAATGCCAGGTACCTATTCGAAAATGAGAAGCGGGAGGCAAGAATCCCATCAGTTGACATGTAACAACACATGTCTTATGTATTATTTTTTCTCAATCTTGGAAGATTTTTTGAATGAATGAATGAATATGATGATTTTCGAAAAAAAAAGAAAATGTTTGGTTTCAGAACATCATCAATCTAAAATGTTACAATTTT